GGAAAAATGGCTGAAATTGGATTCAACGGCTACCAAAAGACATGTCATGCCGTAAAAAGCCACACAATATTAACTTCTTCTAAGACTAACGATTAAAAATTTCCATTAAATTTTGTCCAACGACTAAAATGTTCAGTTTGCCTGCTGTTTTACATGAGGTTAATCCCATCGAGAACCTTCCTAAATGAACATTTGTCACTCTCTAATATATGTAAAACTAAATCCGACCTTCTTACCGATACGGCAAGCCTTGAAATTATCGCCAAGTTGTTAACAATTAACTATATATATTAAAAAGTCTATACCCGTTTTGTGAGAAAGATATCGGCTCAAACGTGCATGTTTCTTGGTAAAAGAATTATGCCTACCAGAATAATTTTAAAGCTTAAGAATTCTACGTACCCAGTTGCTGGGATATCTAAGTTTGAGGCAACCCGGCATTAAAAAAAGGAATTTTCATTACCATAATATTCAATTGCTTTTCATGCTCCAATATACATATGGAAGACATCGAATACTTGTGAATTCTACCTTGGATTCAGAAACAAACGCCCTGTCCGCTCAAATATTGAACTGTTTTCTTGCATGTCGAACAAATGTTATTGCTCGTGTTTGTGTTTTTCTGCAGCTGATGGCCTAAGTAACTGCCTAAACGCCCACGCTAGTTTTCCAGAATTCCTCACCGCCAGGCGTTTTTAATAATCTTTTACTTCTTTTTTTTTCTCGCCGATGTATATTTTTACCAAAAGAACCACGGAACACAGGTACTCGGGCTTGAAACTTTTAAAAATACAACAAAAAAAACAAAAAAAAGGTTTGAATTCGAGTTTTCTCATTTAAAAATTCTTTGACATCTTTTCAGATTGCATCAAATTGCAGGAAGTAGTGATTAACTCGCAAAGCATCAAATCCTTCGCGAATCTATTTTTAAAGTGAAGTCCTCGCTGCTGTCAGCTTCGTCCATGCAAAATTTCTCTACTTTCACAGAAATTCTATTATTTCAATTCATTTCAGTTTATTTAGATTCTCCAGTTCTCGACAGGGTCAGCGCACTACTCCGGCCCATAAAAGCCCCCCCCCTCACCTCCAATCAGAAATAGACCACACCATATTGGTCTACGGAGGCAACGCAAACGGCTGAACGTGATCATGCCTGCCAAATAACGCGATAGTCTGATTGAGACGATGATCTTAAATCACAGGTAACAAGACCTTGTCAGCTTTTATAAGACCCCAACCCCCTCCCCGCGTCCACTCTGTCAGCAACAAGCAATAATGCGCTATTTTTATCTTTTGTCTGGTAATAAATCGAGTTGCTTACTCTTTTCTCTTAGGTCATTACAACAAACGTTCTTCACAGTAATTTAGTTAGTCTTCGCTTTTGTCTTTATTTTTCAAAGAAAACTCCTTAGTTTTTTTCGACATTATCGTTTTATGACGAAGTATTATTTAGTTACTTGAAAAGCTGGAACCGCTTCAATTCCTGAGAACTGATAATGACTTATAGGCAGCGTTCTTACTTGATGCCTTGGTACGGCGCCCGAGTTACGGTCACAAACGGAACAAAGAACACGTTAGAATTCGGGAACGGTCTTTGGTGACTTCGCTGTTTTTATGTCAACTGCATGGAGACGAGCAAACAATTTGGACAACCGTTTGCTCTATTCAATGGCTATCCATAGAAGAGTTAGCGGAGGCTTCGCCCGAAAGAGGTACCCGTCAGGCCACAGGTATATGAAAGGTGAGGGATTTCACTAGTTGAAGTATGTGAAAGGGGAGGGAAATTTGTCATTTCCGTCTGTAAAAAGACCTAAAAGGGCTAACAGAAGAATTTATGGCTGTGAAAACGTCGAGAAAATTTCCTAGTTTTGTGATTTTTTCATATTTTGAAGACAGCGCATTTACAGCAGTTAAAAGGGATGCAACATTCTAAACAAGGTATGTGAATGAGGCACCATTAATTTTGTCAAGAGAAGGTATAGGGATGGGGAACCTTTTCTGTCCATATCAAGAGGCAAAGTTTAGACCGGAAGCCGTCGTCCTTTTTTTTCTCAGAGCAAAGAGACGTTGGTGAAAAGATTAAATTGTGCAAATTAATGGGAGCAGAGATTGGAGCGCAGAGAGCAATTTTTTTTCCGCACTCTTTCCTTGCGGCTTCGCCGCTTTCACCTCTCGCATGCTCTCTATCTACTGTGCCTTAAAAGAAAAATAAGAGACTATTCGCAGTCACGGTAAAGATTAATATAATAGAGCTATCGAGAGGAAACGTTCGACTCTTCATCTGCTATGCAGATACCGGCAAATTTCGATGGGATGTTTTCTTAACCAAGGATTAGTCAACTCTGCACTCTTCGCGTGGTTCGGATGATTCATGGAACTTCTGTGAATGAAAAACTTCTCTTATTGTAACTGAGAAGTTTTTTTGGTTTTATTGAAACTGGGTTAAGAGTAAAACTAGAATATCTGCTCAGATTATTGATTCCATTTTACATCGCTACAATCTCGGACAAAATTCTTTAGACCTTCGGCCAATCATTTAGCGCTGTTTTTTATTCTAGTGAAAGCAAAGGAAAAAACTACGCCAGCAATGCACGCGCGCGTGTTGGTAAGTGAATCACAATCTGTTTCCTTAGCTTCTTCACCCCCACCACCCACAGAAAGAAAAACGTTTAAAGAATAGTGGAAGCTCACACTGGCTTACAAAGACTATTTTAATTTTTTAACAAATTCTCCCAAAACGTTTAAAACAAACTTACAGAGACGAGATAATAAGGTCAGAAGATTTTTTTAAAAAATTCTGAACATCTGAACATAAGCAACGTTTTTAAATACGTAAAACTGAATCCAACCTCAATTTACACTGCATGCTTTTCCTAAATGAAAAGATGTAGCTCTTAACTTACGCAATAATTATCTAAAATTATTTTGTCCAACCAGACAATTCTTTCTCTATTTATTGAGAGCATTCCCTCTTGTTGAGAGACAAATGTCCCATGTCGTCTTAACTCAAACAACGATGTTGTGCTTAAGGTTCTTAATTATTTGCCCTCTCTGACAGGTAGTCTCAGGTAGTCTTAGCGTAATGTTATCCTGCGAGCAGAAGTTTCTTTACGGCATGGCTTTTAGGATGTGCGGAATCGTTCGCGTTGCTGTTATTCGCATAGTTGGCTTGTTTACGACCCCGCCTCTCTCTCGAGATGCTCGCAGGGAAATTATTATCGATGTATAAATAGGTAATACGCCTGACTTACCTGTGCTTTTTCTAGTCTCAAATTAAAAGAGGGAGGGACGGAGAAAAATCCTATAAGGCGGAACAACTTAATGCAATGATAAAATATTTAGTTAAAGTGGTAAATACACTATATGGCTTAGTTAAAAGATAAAAAAATCTTCACCTTCTACTTTTCGTTTCTTGTACATGAAGGACACTTCGATCGGGGCTGGGTAAAAACATCTTTTTTTGGCTGAAACTGGTCATTTCTAAATCGTTTCTTCATCGAGAGGCTGATGAGCCTTAAGACCATTTTCTTTCTGATTATATCGTGTTATCCATTTTACAGAGCTAAGAACGCTAGCCCCTGAGTGAATGTTAGGCTGAGTTTGAGCTTATGTTGATACAAACCTCCTTCCCTTTTCTTATGAAAATTGCTACAAAATACTAGTTAGCATAAGAAAAACATGATTACGATAATAAAGGAGATTGGTTGTATCAATAAACGGTCACCTCCAGCCTCGTTTTCACCTGTAACAGTAAAATGGACTATTGATCTCTCGGCTTTCCACTGCGTCGCTAGGTTATTGGCCTTGCACGCTTGAAAGTTGTAATGACTGAAGAAATTGTCGATCCTTGGCGGTCGAAATCCTGGTAATCATGTTTGTTTTTTTCTATAGAACTAAAGGATCGTTTGCGGGGTATCCAAGTTACCCTGCGAGCAGAGGCTACATTCTGGCCTGCGAAAAGTACTTTTCGCACGCCAGTTCACCACGACACCGCAAAATGCAGCCTCTTCTCGCAGTGTAGGGACAACTACAACTTTTTGCATCCAGTTAACTAAAAGGAGAAGATATGTGGCTCTAGGATGACCCGCCTTCTGGGATCTTCCTCCCTACAAGCAAACAATCAACAGTCACTAAAAGAATAAGCAAAACCGCGCTTCCTCGAGTTTAGAAACAACCCGGGTAATTAAAAGGATAACACCAACCAAGAGCCATAATAGTCCCATTATGATCTCTTGCACCAACAAATAAGCTTAAAATTTCTCTCTCTTTTTGAATATTTTCTCTAGCTACTGGCGGGCAAGAACCTTAATTTCAATGCCTAGCTTTGCACCTTATAGTGGAGACCACCCTGGTGGGGTAGGGCGTCCAGCCCTGTTCTGGTAGGTTAGGACGTGGGGCTTATTAAAAGCCCCTTATGCAAAGCACCACCTGTTACTATGACATGCTATTAAGACCAAAGGGTTGCATGATGCACGTAGAGGCATGTTTACATCCCATGTCGCCCGGCGACTTATCAAATAAGAACTGTTAGTGTTAGTCGTGTTGTTCACTAGAAAGTTTTCATAATAATTTATCCTTGGCTCTTTTCTCGTAGAGCTTGAATTCCACAAAAAAATGTTCTCAAGCCTGTACGTCGGAAAGTTCAAAGCATTTTCTTCTGTTTCTATGAGCTCTTGGTACCAGAACTTCAAATAACTGCGCTGCCGCAAAACAGTACAGTGTGTTCCGAATGTTCACTGAGTGGTATGGCTAAAAAAAACTTTGGCGGCCTGTGTTACAACTTCGCCTAGGCATTTTTAGTTTTGACCATCTTATCTTCACCATCATCAGCCCAGCGACGTTTTCAACGTGAGTTTTGTTGCATTATTCAGGGACTTAGTTTCTTTGCATTTTACAAGAGAATGAGAAGCTTTTTGTTCGTAAGTATATGGCCGATCCGTATATGCGAGGCGTAAGAAAAATTGTCAGTGCCTTACGATAGTTTAAGCTAGTCGGAGATTTTAATCCTCTAGTGTTGTTGCCGAATGTGCAGGTTCTTCTGCAGATTTTGCAGGTGAGGGTGAAGGAATAGAAGAAAGACTGTCCATGAAACCTCCATTTTGATAGACGCCGAGTGTGTTGCCTGACGGAGGAGCGTCTACGAATCTTTCTCTTCCCATTTCTGTGCCCTTAAATGTGCTGGTTACGTCGATGGATGGACGAGAAAAAGTGTGATTCAAGGTCGATTCTCCAACGGTTTCTCCGTCGAGGGAGCTTGCTTTTAGGCGATGTATCAGCTACAAAGAAAAATTTGCGATTTAAATGAATAATTAGAAGATAACAGTGTTGTTTAACTAGTTGTGTGTCTCCAGTGGGCTTTTACGGATTCAGGATTTCCCTCAATTGAAGCTCGGGATTCGGGATTTCCCTTATATGAAGCTCGGGATTCTGGATTTCCCTTACATGAAGCTCGGGATCCGGGAATTCCCTTACTTGAAGCTCGGGATTCGGGATTTTAAAGCAAAATCAGGGCGAGTTTCGGGATTGGATTTGAGGTACGATGCCATAAGCCCATCAGGTTTAAGGGATTGCACGAAATTTTGGGTCGGGATTACGGGATTGAAGAACCCTGTTCTGGAATATCCCGACTTCGTTAATACCTGTAACGGCGTTGCGTGCACGCTTAGCCCGCTGAAATACTGGGGGGAAATCTTGCTAACATAATGAGTATCCATTGCATTTCTTTTGGTCTACCGACAACCCTTTTTGAATATCATTACTGTAGTAGTAATATGCACCATCAAATGTCAGGCACACAGGAGGTACAAGGTAGTCTGCAGCCTAAGGGTGGATTAGTCCACAATCGTGTAATGTTTACGCCGGTGCCTACGAGCGTAAATAAAATACATAGATAGGCGATGTATGAAAGGCCGTGTGTAAACGTTTAAGTGAGGTTCAACTTTTACGTTTACGCCTGACCTTCCACACATTTATATTTTATCTACGCTCGTACGAATGTGGGTAAAAATCCACCTTAAAAGACGCTGGACGGTTTCTACTAAGTGAACTCGTTGGGCGGCCTGCCTCGACTCCAGGCGTCCTTCCTTGCGCTTACATAGCCCAGTGATGCTCTGCAATAGTAGTGCAGACGGTGCCTGGAAACGAGGCAGCCTGGCGGCTGTATAAATTTAATACGAGGAGTGATATGTCAGATGAATACAAGTGGTTCCATGACGATGCGACCTTCGAGCTGTTAAATCTGTGACAATCGTAATGAAATTATCTGTTGAAAATGGCCGAATAAATCAGGTTTTACCTTTGGTATGAAGATCAGCGATATAGTGGCTGCAGCTGGGAAAGATATACACACACTTAGTGCGGAGTATAACTCTACATACTGTTCGTTCTTCAAAATTAGAGCCAAGAACGCACCAATAGTGGACAGCACCACCACGTTGTACACACAAATTCCAATGATTCGCGAGTCGTTCAAATGCGCATACACGACATTTCTTGTCTCATAAGCGAGGAACAGCCCGTAAAGCAAAAGAATTCCCTTGCTAACATAAATCAATGCCAGCCACATTTCCACATTTTTCCCCGTACATGTATTTATTGTAGACTTTATTATTTTGAAGTGATCCGCTGGATCATTCTGCAATGAAAACCGAAAATACAAGTATTAATCATCAATACTATGGACCAGGTCACTTCGCCGGGAGAGCAAGTACGCGTTATTTCAGATCGTGAATAGTGTTTATAGTTACTGACTGTTATTTGGAAGCTTCAAAGTCCATGTGATCCCAGTTGAATTTTCCTCCAAAAATTACAGAAATATAACATTTTGTATAAATGTGGTCATATACGAGCACCACATGAAATCATAGAGTTAAAATTCGAAGCACATGAATAGAGCAATTTCATAAACCTGAAATCAGCATTACAAGCACCTCTCAACAAGTGCTAATATCGTGTAAGATATACGCTGAAAAATCTTTGTTGGAGCAGGTTGTAATCTGTCCACTAACCTTCTCGTCCACGACTGCTTCTTCATGTTGGAGCGGGTCTGTAAGTTCCCAAGCCAGTAACAGCACCACGTCAATCACAACGATCCCAAATACCATAGCCAGCATCCACCAATCAGACAATGGACCCAACTGATAAATTTCGAACATGTTAGATGTTAGCAAGTCAAACAACTTCTATTGTATAGCGGAGAGAATGTACTTATTTATGGTTTGAACTAAGGATACTGTGTTTATGGCGCTTATAAAATTTCTGGGCCTTGAGAGTGGGCGCTTATTGAATTTTCGTTATTTTTAGCAAGTACTAAAGTTAATTTTCCAACAAAACAGTAAATAATAACAAAACGTGAAGATGTAGCAAAGCAGAACTTTTAACCGTTTATTTAAGTTTATTTCAAAACGACTAAGAACTTTGTCCTCAGGGAAGTCTCCTAATAGAACCTAGTCAATTTCTCTCTCACTGTCAGTGAGGTCAATAAGCGAACTCTCTCTAGTTGCCTCGTCGATTTTTCACAACGTAACGTCTGCAAATGGGTCAGTCGACGATAAGTACAGTCGACTCTCGATAACTCGAACCCTCGCTAACTCGAACCTCGCGCTAACTCGAACCAAAATCGATTTCCCCTGGATTTCCGTCATAAACTCACTGTAATTTTACCCTCGGTAACTCGAACCCTCGATAACTCGAACTCCCGCTTACTCGAACCAATTTTCGTTTCCCCTTAGGTCATTTTCTATATAAATTTACCCTCGATAACTCGAACCATGTTTTGAGCCCTTAAAAAGTCGGGCAAAAAAGCCGTCTACTGGCGTCCGAAACATTGAATTTTGGATTTCCTATTGACGTGTTGTAGGAGTATAGTTTACTAGAGGAGGGTGATGTTGATTGTCACAGGCTAACGTGAAGCAGCTTTTCTTCTTAAAACAGTAAAACGCATGCTCTATTTAGGCTATGTTTTGTTACGCTGCGTTCTGATTTATAATCTAAAAGTATCTATTAATTTTCGCTTGTTATTTCTAAAATTAAATGTGATTAAAATGTTCACTGTGCAGTAAAAACTGTTTTTTACCTTACTCTCGGCTATTTTCTTGGGGATCCCGATAACTCGAACTCCCGATAACTCAAACCTTTTTTCGATTTCCCTTGAAGGTTCGAGTTATCGGGAGTCGACTGTATATTGGGCAGTAAGGAAACAATTATCTTGTCCACGTCAGTTTTTTGGGGGAGAGGGTGGTGGGTGGAGTGGGTTGAACTTCTTGTTCGAGGTTAGTTGCTTGTTAACTTTTCCTCCCTACAGGATGGGCACTTATTCGAGGTTGGGCGCTTAATGGAATAAATACGGTAAGCAATTATTGGTTGAGGCTGATTAGGATTTGAAGAATTACGAGATCAGCGCAATTCTTCAGATCATACGAAACCGAATCTAATAATTGTTTTGTTCCAGTATATTTTTAAAGTTTTGTCTTTCTAGCAATTTAAAAATTAGATACACTTACTCGAACTTTCAGACGCTTGTTTGTGCAAATCTTGTAAATTCGCCAGGTTTTGATGAACATGGCTCCAAAAGCCAAGGAGAATCCTATGTTCAAAAGCCACGCACGAGCCTGAAAAAAAATAAGATACGTCATAAAAATTAATGTGAATTAAAGAATTAAAAGAAAAACAGATAGTATCTCTGAACGTAGTTAAAATTAATATATATATAAGACCGGGCGTAAATTAGTCGTCTCGCTCGGATAATCTCCTTTCATCGGCTGTCAATAGCTCTTGGTTCAGTTTATTGGAGTCCGTTACACTGCCATTACCACAGTTATGTACCAGTCAATTCCAAAACCGCCCATGCCCCAGCAAACCCCCTAGGCCTAGGCATTTGATCTTTTTGGTTAAATTCCCCTGTAAATTGGTATAGTGCTTTTGAGGTGGTAGCATGATCCACCGGCTAGCGCTTGAAAAAGCGTCAAATTCCCCACCCACAGGCAGCTATTCAAAAATTTTCCCATGCGTCAAACCGTTTATTCAAATGTGAATATCCTATTTAGCACAACCAAAATATCTTAATTAAGTCTCCGAAAGCTATCTTACGAAGGTTTGTTCATTTCAAAAAACTGTTCATTCCAGAAAGCCCTCATTTAACCGGCTTTTTCAAAAGTTCTCAAATACTCCAACAAAACAGTGAATATATGAACAATGATCCGTGAACGCGTTGCACATGCTGAATGCAGAAAGAATTATGAAATCCTTTTCGCCCCCTTCCCCCCCGGGGGGGAAGGGGCGGTTTGGGGTTTGACTGGTAGATAACCACATGAAATTAACGTTACTCCTCACCTTGCAAATACGTGGCATGGTTCTATTCCCATCGTTGACTTTCCGGATTCCAAATAAATATATTGTGCTCAAACACATGATACATCCCAAAACAATGATATCATTAAACATTGGAGCAGATAGACGAATAAATCTAGAAAAAAAGCCAACAATTGCGTTAGGTCGACATAACTGCGAAAAGAAAACCGGTAAACATTTCCTGATACTCGTTGCTTTTCATTTTTGTGAATATAAAAGGAGAAAAGATCGAGTTTGCTCATGACCTGAGAAGTGGCATAAATTATGTGATAAGGATTTGAGTTGGGGTGACTTGTTCAATAAATAAAGCTTCACCGTATAATTTTTGCTATGCAACTTTATGCGTGGAATCTCACATCCCATTAAATTTCGGTCAGTCACTGCATCACATGATATTTCTACCCTCTCAAACATTCGATAAAGGTCTTTATTTATTTATTTGTTTATTTATTCATCTACTAAGATTTTCCAATTTTTAGAAGGGCCACCGCAACAGAACTACATTACTGCAGGCCCGCAACAGGCCCCTTGCCCCATCACGTCCCCTACTCTTTTCGAACAGCACTGTGGGATATTTACGTCACCGCGCATTGAGCGCAGCTGAGTTTTATCGATCACTTTCTTGTTAAAAGAATCTGTGGAGACCTGAGGTTTAGGGGAAGACAAGGCAGAACTGTACCAAAGGGTTTGAAGTCGTTCAAGAAACTCGCCGTTCCTTTGTTTTCAAACTCTGAAGTTCATGACCAAAAACCGTACTATTTGTTGTAGCCTTAGCCAATCTTCTCCGGTATCGATCGTGTTCTTTTAAAAACTGCAATCACCTCTTGCGACCCTTTGTATCCCGTAGAAAACTCTTTTTTAAAAGACATTCAGGAATTGTCCGCCATAACTCTTGCGGAGGTCTGAACACTATTTCCGCATCCATTTTGGATTGATGTGTGCCAGGAGTCCATCGCTAGTGTCATAGGCTCCTGTGTGTGCGTAATGGTTCTTACCCAGGATATACCAATGTAGTTTACACATGGGGGTATCTCCCCACCCTGGTAAAACATCTACATTTCTCCTTTATTAAAGAGTGCATGAAACTCACTTGCAATCGCGGTAGTAGCGATTGAATACCATGAAAATGATCCCTATAACTATACCAAAGGAGGCCACCGTTGAGAAGATGATGAAGAGCGCACGCGGAGTATCCATTCGCTGCTTTATTATCTGCGATCTGTCGCTTGGGACACGTCCATCTTGAGCAAAATACGAGGCCGATTAGTATAAAGTTAATATGTATTGGTCTGATGGTTTGTCACGCTTTTCCAGCTATAAAACACATCAGCAAACTATGCATGAGTACTTTTTAAGTCATGAACCTTTGAACTGAACACAAGTTACATGAGAGTATAATGGGAAATCCAGAGATTATTTTGTATTTGCCGGCACCGCGGAGGTGGCCGCTTAATGGAGGCGATTTTCGAGTTGCCCTAAACCTCTGTTTTAAAACGAGCCTAAATGTAAAGCCATTGACATGAAAATGATTTTTTTTTATTCTCATGCTAACAAAGCTTTTTTTCACAAGAAAGATTTTGCACTTAGCTTCGTTTTGAACGAGAGAGTTTTTGAACTCGGAAATGGCCTATAAACATACCTTCCCATAATGTCTCTTCCATGCCTTCATAAAATTTCAAGTTTAATTGGCCACTTTCATTTACGAAGAATTCACCAACGTTCACCCATTTTTCCTCTTTATCTGCGATAAAATTCAGTGAAAATTATATCATTTGTGTGGATAATGTGACCTGAGTTTAAGCTAAAATGTTTTCATATGTGTATTTTGTATTGTTGTGAAGGCCGTAAGTTTAAGTTAGATAACTCATTGGGTTATTACGTCACCTTCGTTAAATAAAGAATATTGTATTGTATTGTATTGTAGTCTTCTGCATAATGAAGTCAGAAAAAGGTTTAAATATCCAATCACGGCAAAGATTTCACAGAGTTTGATAGATGAGAAAAAATGGTGAGGATTAAGCTTATTCAATCTTCGCCATCTTTCTTTTTTTCAGTGCCCTTTTTACATAAATTACCTAAAAATGATAAAGATAATGATAATAATAATCTAATAATAATAATAACAACAGTAATTGAATGATATCCTTCACTATAGCATTACACAAAGGCTGATAAGGATGGAATGATCCGACGTTAAAATGGACGGTCAAGCCAGTGAGTGACAAATAATTTTCGCATGGATAGATAATCAGATTTTCTTCCCCATGGTACTTAGTGTGCGTGGCAAAGCCAAAATGGGGAGGGGGAGGCAAAGAAACGGGGGGGGGGTAGGGGGAGAAACTAAAGTGAAAGGGGGAAAGGGAGAGGTCTCTTTTACACTTCATTTCAAGGCCTGCCTCCCAGGCTAATGGTACTTCGTGCTCAGGCAAATAAACTCATTACGAATTAAAGTATTGGATTTATATATTTCTTAGTTCTTAGGCCCAGCTCAGAGGCCAAACTTTCACGCGCCCAACCTAATTCGAATTGAGGCCGACCCAAATTATTTAGACCGGGTGAATTGATTCAGACACCAATCTTACTTCCGGTCGAAGTAAACTCAAAAGGAGAAAATTGTTCTTTTCGGTAAAACTGCTTGAAAAATACGTTATCATAATTAATGCACCATGGACCCGTTTCTTGAAAGTACCAATAATTAACGGGCCCGGAAAGTTGTTGCTGTTTACATTCAAGATCGAGGTTTCAATAGTTTTGCAGATAAACATGATAAAACTATCCGTTAACAAAACAAAAAGAACTGGTTTGTCAGCTAGAAACCGAGCTTTTATTCTTTGCATTTTGATTTGAATATATAATTTGGGGCCAGAAAAGTTACCGGGCCTTTCGAGAAACGGGCCCCAAGTTCGTAAGCGAGCAACCGCCAAAAATATAAAGGCTTAACCCTTTATGTCCCAATGGTGACCAACATCAATTTTCTCCTAACAGTATCCATACAATGTCAAGAGATTAGGTTATGAGAATTGACAAATGATCAGCAAAGATAAAATGTTTTGATCTTTTATTACATTCTCTCAACTAATTCTTAAAGGAAATGTATGAGGATCAGTTTGGAGAATTTGTATGTTGATATTGGGACTTAAAGGGTTAAGCTTGGTGGTCGCTTACAAGAGTCGGATGACCGGAAGGGCGAAATTTTTAACTCAACCTAGCCGAGTTTGAGTGGTACATTTATCCTAAAATATAATCATTAGCTATTCTACGTGACAGCTCATTTACGGAAGTGCAATTAATTAGATTACGCGCGTTACAAATTTGTTGTTACAAAATCTTGGTTGTGTACGTGACTTCGTGTATAGAAATGCCTCGAAAACGTCTGACGAACAAAAACTTAACTTCTTTAACTGAAACCTGGAAATCTGAGTCTTTTTCTCAAGGGTAATGGTTAGTACTGTAGTTATAGATCGAACTAATAAATACAGTAATAGATGTGTAGACAATAATGACAGCCAAAGAATAAATTCCTTTTTGCCCATTATTACAATGTAAGACCATGTGCCAAGTGGTCGCTTACCGAAGGTTGAAAACAACAGACAATTCTAAACTGTCAGCCGAAAAAGTGGTCGCGATCGCTTACGGGAGGTGGTCGTTTACGAGAGATTCCAGTATAAGACTTTGACTGAGAATATTTTTGGTGTTTTGGAAAGGTGGTCGCCTACGGAAGGTGGTGACCTACGGGAGGTGGTCGCACGTGGAGGTTCGACTGTGCTCTGTTTTAGGTTCGGATCATGAAAAGTCGCTAGGCGTTCTCCCTTGATCCGTTGTCCGAGCGAAGTCTGGGAGAGAGCGAGCGGTGACGGTGATGTCACAGCTCATGGTGACCTAGCCGAAACGCCTGGGGACTAGGCTGGTTCGGATCATGAAAAGTCCGGCCTATAAACCAGGCCTTAGTTTAAATTCTTGCATGTAGTTTACAAAATGAGTATCAATTTCTAATAATTTATACCTCGGTATTGCTGTAGAACAATGATAACGTCTTTTCTCCTTTTGTCTGGGTTGAAAGACACTGGGCCCTGGAAATTAATAAATATGTAACATACTAATATATTTCATTGTTGCATATTTTATAGCCATGAGGCTTTGAATTGACGAGGGGGCCAGGACACTGCAGAATACCTTGAAGATAGATCCGTTCAAATAGTTGTTTTGCCACCAGGGCTATGTAAGTAGTTGGAAATAGTCACAAATCGCATGACTTGTCTAATTCACGGGCGCTGCACGATTTTACATTTCTCCTTTACAGGATTTTGACTCTTCGAGTGTTCTCTCACAGGGCTGGTCGAGCGGCGGTTACAAAATCGAGTGCAACTGTCACAGCCCCGTGAATGTTAAGGTCTTTTTTTCCCCTTCAATGAAGGAAGGCACTGATCACCAAAAGACCATTTTAAAAAACCTGCTTCTACTGCGGAGGGGCACTCTAGGAAAGTAATGCGTTAGAGGTAAAATAAAGTGAGACCTAACTTCTCAAATATGCCATTTAGACAGGGATGGTCTTTCAGATATCAGGTTCACATTAGCTGATTGTTATTATTATTCATTCAAAGACCAAAGATGAAGATAGAAGATAGAAGATGCTTTGATTTATAGATTACTAGCAACAGTAAACATCACTAACAACAGTCACTCCTGAAACGTCACTGAAATGTGTGATTATACCGTCATTGACGTCTTGCGAGAAAGCGACTTGGCAGTTTAGCTGTTTTGCTACGAGTGTAGAACTTAAGAGAATGCCAAAGAGGTCACGGCTATGCAAAGACGAAATAGCAGAATTACTGACTAAAAAACATGACAAAAATACTTTAAGGCAAGTTAAGTTCAATCATCTTTACCCCGCCTTTCTCACAAAATAGAAAATAAAACAGTAAAAAGTAAAACGTACCGTTAGTCCTTGAAAGTTCAACTCTGTGAGTTTTTTCACCAGAAAATTAGATACTTCCTGATTTTCTGCAAAGTCCGTGTTCTTTCCCAATTTATCAGAAACGTTTTTTGTTTCACTAGCTTCTTTTATGGCTAGCATGGTGCCCCACATAGCATCAAACGAAGTTGTGGCAAGGTTTTTCGTTTTATCGCTCGATAGATCATTTATGCCCAGTCTTGAAAATGCCTCAGATACTGTCTGCAAAGCGAAGTACGACAAATCAAAATTAGCTCATTTCTTGCCAAATACCTATCTTTCAATTGGTCGCCAATGTCTGGTACCCAGGGCGTAAACCTTCCTAACTTAACTTTGTTAAAACAAACCGGAAACAAACAAGCGACTTCCGCCTTTCACATATCTCAAAACGCGCCCATCAAAACTCGGTCACATTTTTGGCCACGTGAACAAAGTGAATGGAAGAAAAAAATGAATACTTTCAAAACTGAAAACTCATCAGCATTATAGGATTTTACTCTGGTCGACTAAACAGAAAGAATTTTAGTTGAAGCCATCGATATTACTTGGATCATAACATATAACTTGGAAGCTTACCTCAACGCTGCAAGTGTACTATATCAGATCTACTGATGATAAAGGGGCTGCGTGCACGAAAAGAAATATTCTTACCAGATTTGATGAGGTAGTGAAGTTGTCGTCCTCCCTTATCATGAGTGCCTTAAATGTGAATGCTCTATTTAAAGCTTTCTGGTATTGCGTCTTGTTGCATGTCTGTTCAGTCTTTATCTTGTCTTGGTCAATCGCGCGGTTGGTATATTCGAACCACTCATCTACGGTTCCAGCATTCGGGTTTAAAATCCAAACAAACTCTGGTCCGTACATTCCCATTTTATACAACTATCAGAAAAAAAAATCGTTTATTCCTCAGTACATGCCCATTACCACACATGAATCTGAGCAGTCTGAGGCTTGCAGGAAAATACATTGCCATATTTTCAGGTCTTTAAGGTCTTAAACAGAAGTGGCTCAGTGGCTCGTTAGTCATGACAAGTGCTTAAAGAACGAGAGAGATATGAGACATACAAATGGCTCGGTGGCTCGATCGATGGCTCGTCAGTGTAGGTGATTGTCTTAAAAAACGAGTCAGAAAGGTATATATTTTAGTGGGGCGGCAGGGTGGCTCGTCAGTCGGGACTATAGAGCCACCGAGCCACCCCAAAGAATATACCGAATAAACCTGTATTCAGTAGTTAAGCCTTATAATAAAGAGTTTAACTACGGCGACGGCAACGAGGACGTCAAAGAGGCTAGAGCAATTGGTTAAGATTAGCAAAACAACAACTCTGCACGTGCATCACGCTTTTTTGTACATTTCCTTGCCGTCACTGCACGACTACGACATGAATTGCCTACTTTCGCGTGAACATACGACGACGAATCTCTTACTCTTTCTAAACTTGGATATTTTTCTTTAGAATTCAACCCCACGAGAAATAATCGCGCTAAAGTTTCATAGATCGAGAAGTCACTTTTTAAGCGAGGTATTTGCTCCGTCGCCGTCATAGTATCTTAAACTCCCTAATAATACTAGAAAAATTGCGTTAAGGTACCATTTTTCAGATAGCCTGGGACAAGGCGCCTTGGTGAGAAAAACAAAATCGAATAACGGGCTAGGTACGAAAGAGGGGCAACAGAGCGAGGACCCCGTTACCGTCAACGTTACCGATTAAACGCCTGGGCGTTTTTTCGAGTTTGGCGTTTATATTAAAAGTACATGTCTTAAATCACAGACAACAAAATTACGATGTAGTCAACTCTCTCTTAGACGATCACCTTTTGGGTCTTAGACCCTGATGTCTGTCTTGTGCATGTGCGTGTGCTGACAGGACGTGTCTCTTTACGCTCCCAGTTACTGACGGAAGATTTTCGAATTTCTGATGCCTGATTCAGTAAAATCCTTTGTATTAACTGATTGTAATTTAAGTTTAAGTGATAGGTCTCCATACTACCTGCCCCAATTAGCTTTGCCAATTGCAGGTAGTCTGTACTTGTAAGTGTTAGTTTTGAAACGTTCTTTTGTTCATTTGTCTTATAATATTTTTTAGTTGCTTTAAGACAGTTTTTATTTTTAGGTTATAGAACGTGATTATATCAATCTTTCTAAAAACATTTTGAAGGTTTTCACGCTTATGTCATGGTGCGGTACTTTCCGCTAAGAAACGCGTAAAGCGTAGGTACAGTTTTACTTAGTTAACGCCATAGGCACAATACACGTATACTCTATTATAAAAGAGGCAACGCAATACTAGAAATTATAAGTTATCCCGCTATCATTGAAGTTGCTATCACAAGTTTCTTTGATGCTGCTAGAGTGCTATTTTTTGCTACTTTTGGTGCGAGTCGTCGACCAAATTCGTATTCTTTAATTATCGCTTTCAGTTCGAACCTACGTCTACGTCTACGTTTTGTTACGTCGACTACGTCTGCTATTACTTCGTCTACTGCGTGTATTACTACTCGCTACTACTGCGATCTGTGACCTCGTAACTAGGCCACGAATATTGCTATTACATTGAATTGTTGTACACGCGACTGCTATTGTTATGAACTCTAAGGATCTGTCTTTAAATCTGCTTTAATATTCTACCACGTGGAGTTCGAATCCGGGTCTATCGCCTCGCACCGTGACACCCCTGAGATTTGGATTATTCGCAACCTCCAAAATTTCAGCAATTACATCAAGTTATGGATTTTCATGTAAAATAAAGTTTTGTGTTATAGCCCTGTTATAGAGAGTCACGGTCAAATAAAAGTAGTAAAGAAAGGTAGGTACCAACTCTAGGTGTCCGTTTTACGGAGGTGTCCGTCTTATGGAGGTGTCCTTTCAAAGAGAGTCGACTATAAAACATTATTTGTAAATATTATTTAAAACAAAAAGATGTAAAGAGTTTTCATGCGTCGTTTTTTTTCTGAGATAGAATCTAGATCTCTGAATGATGTAGAATACCATATACAGTCGACTGTCTCGTAACGGACAGGTACCTCTATAAGACGAACACCTCTGTAAAGCGGAAACCTAGAGAAAAAAGATCTTAAGGTTGGAGATGTATCTTCCTTTTTTCACTCCTTTCATTTGACTTTCTATTAGTGGGCCATCTCTCTCTAAGGCGGATACCTCGGCGGACGCTTTCCATTTGTCAGAACTGACTGGCCAGACCCTTCCCGTCATAATGAGAATTTGACTGTTAATCAAAACTATCCAGCCAGATCAGTCAAATCTTAAATAGTGTCGGAAAGGAGATGGTTTTTCAGCAAAAAACCTTGGAAAAGGCCGATTTCATTGTCAAAATGACTGGTCTGGCAATGGTCCGGCCGGCCAGTTCTGACAAATAGAAAGCACCCCTAGTATAGTCCCAAAGGTGTATCGGTCCCAAAATTGTAAAGATTTTTCTATAATCCTCGAATCAACGCTGCATTCTTATGATTGGTGTGGCATTCATTTGAGAGCAATTTTGATCCAATTTCCGTTGTTTATAATACGGTTTTCGCCTTTTTTCTCCACCAAGGATCCTTATCCCAGGACATGTTTAAAATGGACTCTCTTGGGTGATGCGCTCCTGGCCATGGCTGTTAAATTTCCTGAAGCGTGACTTACGGGGGAAAATTGGCCGGGATTATTGTCGGAAAATTAAAATTTAAACGGCCTAAATTATACCAATTTAGGCGTACCTTTTAAGCTTTATTGAGTCCTACAAGATACGATTCTACAGACAGCCAAAAAAGAACTACAGTAACTCAAATTGTGTAAAGACGTTGACATTAATTACCCCTTCTTCACATACCTAGGTTAGAACGTTGCATCCCTTTTTACTACTATAAAGGCACTGTATTCAAAATATGAATAAATCACAAAGCCAAAACGCTTTCTCGACTTTTTCATAGCCATAAAATGCATCTCTTAGTCCTTTTAGGCCATCTTAGGACCTACTTTCCTATGCTTTCATATACTTCAACTGGTAAAATTCGTGCCCTTTCATACACCTGAAACCTGAAAAAGGTACCTCTTCTGGGCGGAACCTTCACGCACACCACCACTACCAACACCACCAACAGACATCCTCACACGCTTCATACCACCAGTTCAGTTTTTAACGGGAACAATTATCTAGTTCTACTTTTCTTACCTGGCAAAAAACCAAACCGGCTGCTCTGTCAGCAAATTCTCCGATGAAGATTTTATAGTCTCTGTCCTGATAAATGAAAATATATTTGATAATTGGTTAAGAAATGTACATCCAAGTCTACGAGCACAGAGGTATTCCCGGCTGTGCGCAGAACATCATCAACTTAGAATGATGATGTGAACTTCCAGTTGTCGATGGGAAATGCATAACAATAGGGTACTATGCTTCAGGGTCAAATCTAAGCAACTTGCACTTTTTTAGCGTTGTAGTAATTCCTTCGCGAAAAAAAATCAAGTTCGCTTCTTGTATATTCTTAAACTTACACGTAATCTGACCATATTTAGAGAGCATGGTACAATTAGGAATTATTGAATGAGGCTGAGTAGGATGTGAAGAATTATGCAGATCTAATGCCTTGCATTTCTTCCGTTCAGTTAGTTGGAAATTCAGCTCAGTATTTCGTCTTCGGATAGTCGTGAACAGACCTTTTTTTTTGCTGAGTTCACTATAAAGCTAGGCTGCCGCGCCTAGTCTATAGTATATCATAATCATGTTATACCATCGAATCGATGATATATTGCTCACATCTTTCAAGTATGTTCAGTGACAGTTAGTAATGAAGAATTCGCCGGGAGATTGGAGCCAATCATTATTGGAGAAATATGTTTAATGAATAACTGAATCATTGGATAAACCAATTCTAGAGCTTTGATTGGCTTAGCCCTCATGGAATATGAGCCATAATTATTCATTCAAAATATTTCGCCGTTTCTGGACAGTACTGCTTTCTGCGTCCACTTCAGAACATCGCTCAACAGCGCACCAAAGAGCGTACTCATCTCGAGATCTAGCTCCTTTGGCTATTCCAACAGAACGTCAATGATGACGTTCAGGTGCTTGATCTTGTAGACTGGGTATTGCTTAGCAAGCTCCCACCGCAGTGTTTGGTACTTCTTTGTCTTCTCAGTATCCTTCTTCGCGCGGTTGTCCAATCATGGACAGCTCATTTTCACAGCCACCACACTCATCTCCTTGTGGTTAACAAATCGCCAATCAACCATGTGTGTGCTCTGCGTAAAACAGGAACATCTCAGTATGCTTGAGCGTCGTCTGACAGGTACAACGGGCCGAGCTCCACTCGTGAGTACCAAGGAGGAGAAGAGTCGGCAAGCTTGAGGTCCCTTAGCATTTCCGTCAAAGTAGAGCTCTATTAGTGCAACATTATGCCTGGTCATGTAGTCTCCGCCAGTGATGAAAAACGTGCCAAAACTTGAGCAAAGCTCTCTGGTACCTTACCCACACATTCTCCACATGGTGTTAATTTGGTCTGACGTACCGGTCTCTGCGCGTAAACTCGGGTAGGCTTCAGCTCACTGCTGGAACCCCTGCTGAAGACACAACCCTGGATAATGTTGATCCTGTTCTGCATAAACTTGGAGTAACAGAGACTGAATTCACAGTGTGGGAAGTGCTTAATGCTAAGAAGTAGATAAGCCAAGGTAAAGCACCTGGAGAGCCTGAGATACTGAAACGCTGTGACATCGACGACAGAGGTGTTAGCTTACTCATCGATAGTCGCCAACCTAATAAACAGAGTGCCATTAAATCGAATACGTCCAAAAATAGATCCATCTCTGCGATATAACCAGAATGGCTTTCGCCCGGGTCGATCTACCATTACGCAGGTGCTAACATTGAGAGGTATCTTTGAAAGAGTCAAGAATTACCATCTACGATCAATTATGGTTCTTATTGACTTTAATAAAGCATTCGTCTCCATTAACCATCAAGCGATGTTCAACATTCCAGAGAGAATCAAAAATGCAATCATGCTAAAATGTAGCAACATCAAAGGGAAGGTTCTATCCCCTGACGGTGAAACAGATCATTTTTAATTGGGGTGATATTTTCCTGAGTTATGCTGGGTGACTTTGGCACCATATTTATTTGTCATTGCGGTTGATCATGCAAAGTGGCAAGCCACACAAGAAAAAGAGGAGCGGCTTGAATTACGCTGATGACATTGTTCTTCTGTCTGACGAGATTAGGCAAGCCAGGCAGCTTTTACGCAATGGGAATATAGAATGCAATATAGACCAAAGATATGTATATCAACGTTGAAAGTGTAGAAATAGAGACAATTGATGGTAAAAAAGTAAACAAACAGTCGTGGAAGAGACAGGGGAGCAAGTCGCAAATATCTTGGCAGCTGGACATGTTCTAAGGAAAGAGACAAAAGTCCGCACAGCACTGGCCTGGCAATCACTAAACAAAGTGAACAACATCTGGAAGAGTGACTTTGCAGAAAAAAAGGCGGAAGTTATTCAGACCAACTAAGGAGACAATTCTCCTTTACAGGAGTGGCACTTGCTCCTTGACAAAGCAAGAAGCCTGGGTGGAACTTATACAAGAATGCTGCAAATGGTGGTAAACACATCTTAGAAGAATAAGGTTAAAATCGCGAGCTTTGTGGTAGTCTAAAAAAGGTGACCTCTACCATTCAAAATATAAGGATTGCTCTTTCTGAACATGTTCTTCAGTGCAACACCTGATAACATGAGTGCCCACTCATGGAATGGCAAAAAGATGATGCCCTTCAACTACATATATTAACCCTTTATTGAGGGATACTGGGCTGGAGAACGTAAGAGATCTTGAAAGTTGCATGAGAGATCGCTACAGCCTTTTGGTGTCAGTCTTCTTCCTGTCCTCTTTTAGGCGTCAACCAGAAGTAAGAAGTAGTAAGAGCTGCTCGTAAAGTTCCATAACCCCTTCGATAGCAGGAGTAGGGGCGCACGCTAACCCACTCAACCAGACAAAACGGCCCTGTTCACGCAGCAGGTCGTCTTCCCTTCTGGCCCACAGCAGACGTCCTTGCCATCTCTCCTCAACATTCTCTCCCACAGCTTTCCTAAGATATTGTCTCACCGGATGTCCTCTGATCCTCTGTTGCGTGCTACACGATGGTTAGGGAGTGGCTCAATTCAGACTAGTCCCTAGTTCCCAGACTAAATTGTGTGCGTCCGTCACAAGTGAGAAGAATCCCTTCAAATATCCGCACAATTCTCATCATCCGGTCTGGATTCTCATATACATGTAGCTCCATAGCCGCCTTGATATTAATTAACTTTTACTCTCGTTCTACATACTTTAGTGAACGACCCTCACCCCAAGGAAAATGTTCTTGGCCCCAGTCTTGACGTTCTCCACCAAAGCTGTCTTGCCCAGCTTGAGGTCTGCTGCATCTTCAACTTGCTTGGGCTTCCTGACCTGGATAACACTGCACTCTTTTGGATTCCACAGTGAGTCACCTTATCATCATCATCATCATCATCATTATTATTATTATTATTATTATTATTATTATTATTATTGTTATAGGAGCAATTACCCTTAGGCTTTGCAGACTGTTCTTAATAGATTCAAACACTCCTCCCTCAGCTAAGTTTTGCTGTGGGTTAATTGGTTCAAACGTCAGGTTAACGCGAGGTGAAGTGAGGTTTGAAGAAGCTGTCGTGGCAAGATCTTCCACAACCTTAAAACAAAAAATAATTAGGACAAGCAAGAAGGGTGAAAAAGTGTGAATAGAATAAGGGGGAAACTCATCTCAATTTACGGGGAAGGTGTGTAAAAGGTGCGTACAATAAAAGTTCGTAAACCGGATTCCTTTTAAAGGGGAATACAGTAGAAAACTGGTACCCTTTTAAAACCGAAAACAAAGGGGACTCGTAGAATTTGGAGAAAAGATGTTTATTTATGCAGTCAGCGCGGCGGTCAGTCAGGCGGCAAGAAAGAAATCATTGGAGTACTTGCAAAAGCGAAGAGAAGGGTGACGTTACAAAATATAAATTTGAGAAATTACTGGACTGGTTGACATATTTTGAAAGAAAAATATGAGAAATGTCCCCTTTGTGTTGAGACATAAGTACCGTTATGCTCTGGTGACATCACACAAATCCTTGTAAAATTGGCCTGGATCGTAACGCTTACGATCGAGGTCTAGTTTTAGAAGGATTTATATGGAGTTTGTAATGTACTAGGCTTTCACGTATTTAGTAGGCGAATTTGAACAGTAAAATGCAACAAGCATCAGAAGCATGTCCGACCAAGCACATGGTACTATCGAACGAATTGCGCATGCGCAAAGTACGGGATACTTACTCCCCACCTTTTTAGGCAAACTGGTGGGGAGTAAAAAAGGTTGCTTTTTACAAAGAGGGCATTCTTCATTTTGTTCTCACTGGATATGCCATCCTATCCCATAATTTCACAAATTTGGAAAGAACAGGCAATTTGTCTTCAAAACTTGCAAGCTGTGGTTATAACCTTCTTATTATTTAATTTTCTCGAAGAATACATCATAGTGAAACGGACTTTAACGACATTTACGAATTTCCTTGAGTCGTACTGGAAATGCGTGCGTAAGTCCGATTTTTTTGAAGATGCATTCACAAACTGTGTTCATTTAAGGAAGTTCCTGGATATATAAGGTCCGGAGCTCCACCGTGGACACAAAAACAAAATATCTTTGTATAATAATCTGCCCAAAGAAATTCAAGTTTGCCCACAATGTCTTTGAAGTTACTGAACTTTGTCGCACTCTAGCTGATATTTTAAAACCCACGCTCGATTGCACACTTCTAGCTTCGCAGAACACTAAAATATAAACAAAATCCTCAATGTAGCAGTTTTGGCGTTGATATGTGGGCAGAAAAAGAGTATCTAGTAAATCTTCCCCAAGATCGTTTTCAAAGCAACCATAGTTTTATTAAACTTGATCGTTTCGCGCAGATTAATTTTGCTTTGTGTTGTCAAGTTGAACATGCAAAACACCTGTTAAAAACCTACGCGTAAGTAAGATTTCCTTGAAACAAAGTTTAAGTTACGTTATTGCAAAAACTTCTTTCCAATTATGTTACAGAAAATTCACTTCTTCAGCAGGTATAAGAGCCTTAAGCCTTATGTTTAGTTAATGAAAATTTGTTGTTTTGCAACCTTATTGAAGCTTTTTTAGTTCACTTAAGCTGAATTTTATGCATGATGGAATTGTTCTTTGCTTGTCGCATCTCTTTGCCAGCTTAAAGTGGCGTCTGTGGTCCTTAAAGTGACCTCAATCGGTAATTAAATCTTATACGGAAACAACCTACCTAAAGATCTTAAAAGCAAAAGATCAGTTGCAAGCTTCGCAGCCAAGCCATGATTCCGTCTACTTAGCTAGATTAGCTACTTTTTTTAGTAATAACTGGTCCATGCGAGGGTACGCTCTTCATTCAAGCAAATTAAACTCAGCAAACTGAATCATTAGAAAATACTGAAAACTGCACATAAGGATTTGTTTTGCTCGCTTCAGTCAAATCCAGTTCCAGCAATTGTTTACCGGCAAAGAGTCGATTGTTTTGGAGTCACTGCCGGCAGTTGTCGTTCTCCGCTACTTCACAGCGAGTGAAAGGAAAATTTGCGTACAGAAAGATAACAAAACTATGTAATTAAAAGTGAAAAAACTAAAGGAAAAAAAACTCTGACTATTTTTACTTGAGCAACAGAAAAATGATCGAAGTAGTCTTTTCTTCTCGAGTAAGCTTGCTGGCCTTCTAAAGTTCCAAGGAAGTTTTAAGCGCTCAAGTTTGTTCACTCGCAAGCGTTAGGATTACGGTTCTTTGACATAAGACAAGGAAAACGCTGGTTCTGCAAAGCTAAATAAATCTGCGCATGTAAAAAAAATAACCGTAAGTAATAATAACAGAATACAAGCGGGTTTTAATTCAGTCCGGCGAAAGAAGGCAAAGAACTGGACACAAAATCAATTCACAAATCGAATGCACAATTCTCAAAAAAATACAAACCTCGTTGGAAATGTTTAAAACGTTTTATTCCTCCTCAGACTGACGGATGATCTGTTTTTACAGGGTTCATACAAAAAATTGCAACCATTTTTCAAGGACTTTTCAAGGACTTTTCAAGGACCACATTAGATTTTCAAGGACAACCTACTAGGAATATAATTTCACAGATTGTACAAAAATGCATATTCCCAGTATATTCTAATAAGACTTTAAGGCTTTAACTGTTTGCTTCACCAAATTCTCTACATTTTTCAGTTCACTTGTCTTAAACTGATAGTTAATTATTGCATAAAACGTGGAGCACTTTATGTAAATGACCTTTACATTCACTGAGCTACGATTTATATTCTGTCTTGGACAACCAAAAAGCATCAAAAAATTCTTTCCAGGCTACTGCATTCAAAGTTGAAGAAAATTCAAGCTCTTTTCAAGGCCTTGCACAGAAATTTAAGGACTTTTCAAGGAAAAATGGAATTCAAGGACTTTTCAAGGACTTCCCCTAAAATTCAAGGACTTTTCAAGACTGTGCGAACCCTGTTTTAGTCTAACATTGGTTGTTCTGAATCCAAAGTAATTTTCAAAAACAAAAACAAAAAAAAGCCTTTACAACTAGCAAACGTTCGCACGGCCTCGTGTATTTCATTCAGTCTCAGTCAGAACTCTCACAGAACGAGACAAACAAACGCAGGCGATAAGGGATGCGCAGAAACTTGCGCAGAACGTTTTTCCGCCCTGAAAGACCAAAATTGACGTCACGTAGTCTCCAGTCTATCACGCGGCCATTTCAGAAACGTTTTCGTGAAGTTTTCGGAAATGATCGGATTTTGATCTTTTATATTTCTATAAAGGCTTGGGAAGAAAAATCTTTACCCAAATCTCACTTAGGATGGTTCGTTTTAGTGTTTGGTGAAGGTAAAGCGACAGAAGAAAATATGTCAATTTTTTGGTTCATTTGACCTTTAAGCAATGACCTTCTGGTTACCAGTCCAGATGCTCTACCACTATATAAGCTATAGGAGACTCGTAGCAGCTAAGGCCACTATTAACATAACTTTACTTTGTTCACACCCCCAACGGCCTTGGATCTTGCGATGCAGCAAATGCAATTTTAAATATACTTAATCCAGTATCCCATAATGACCGGAACACTAAAAAGCTAAAGCTTACTAGGAATTAAATAAAATGCTAGGAGCAAAATCGAGGTCCATCCAAACACTCAGAGAACGAGTCCCATTTCCAGCCTTGCTGACAGAACAGAATTGGTCAGCAATTGGCCGATGAGAACACAGCACTCGCTTCACTTCGCCCACTTGCAGCGCCAGTCATAATAAAGACAGACTTAGACTGACTTCTTTAGTGGCAAAAAGGCAAACGTCCATTTCTGCCATCGCATTGAGCAAAGGTTTTCCAATTACCGGTCGTTTAGTTATCACTATTTCTACATAAGAAAATAAGTTTGTTTAAGTCAGGTTCATGTATGGGGATCATTTTGCACGGCTTTTATCTTTTCAATTCCTGATATGAGAAAGTGAATTGTCATCATTTTGCCCTGTGCCATAAATTGAAAGAATACTAACCTTGACTTTAGCCCCTTCATCTGTCAAGAAATCATACACAACAGCAGCTCTCTTCCACTTGAAAAAGTTCATAAATTTGATCGTGGGCGGATTAAATGAAAACGCAGTTGGTAAAAATGTGAAGGCAAAAGAATCAGTCACTAGCTCCTCCAGTTTAACTGTTGTTTCGAGAAATGTTATCTGTTTCAAGGAGAAACAACCATATGTTTATTACAAAAGCAATCATATGTTGCCAATAAAAAAGGTTATTAATATCGTTATTCGTTAATTATATCGTTTGTCTCACAATGCCAGAGTTAACTTTGGTCTGAGGATTGGCCCTGTTACTGCAGCGACAATGCCGTAGATCAGAGGCACCTTTAAAACTATCGCACGTATACAACAACCCTACAACATACGCGTTGTGCACAAACCGATAACCACTTTACGACGGCTGCTAACTAATTTTAAGGACAAAGACAACCCAGAGGGATGGGTGGGAGCAGTATACAAGTTCAAATGCCGCGATTGCCAGGCCAATTTCATTGGTGAAACCTGCAGAAACCTTAACTCGCGGCTAACTGATCACAAGCGAACGACAAGAAAAGGTGACGTCAACAATCATATTGCTGAACACCATTTATAGAAGAAACATCAAATCCACTGGGACTCTGCGACATACAGCTATTTCGAGAAAGGTTGTCGGGAAAAATGTGCACGCGACAATCCCGAAAGGTAATACGGGATACGATCAATTCACTGTTCCTGACACTGTAGCTTTCGCACCTGCTACTTTTGTTACTTTTCTTTAGCACTCGGAAACATGTATCCATGGCCTCTCGTGCCATTCTCTCAAATTTCTTTGAAGAACAGTGAACTCAAAACCATCCACAATACCTTTCGGGATTGTCGAGTGCACTTTTTTCGACAACCTTTCTCGAAATAGCTGTATATTACGTATTCTACAAACTACTATCAACGAATCACTTAAGAAAAGTGATTTACTAACTTACAACAAACGCCACTGAATCCTAGTCAACAGTTACCAGCACCGTACAAATACAAACGACTTATTGACGGACTCAAGCAAAACTAACTAGGGCTGAATGACTGGACAACAGACAATTAGTCTAACAATAAACAACTGTTTCAGTAACTGCGACAATAGAGGGATCAAAACGCGACAATGACATTACGAGTCTTTATAGCCAATAACATCACGGCTCAACTGACAGACGCTGATAATATCGCGACTTAATTGACCAATCAGGTCAATAACCAGATAAAATACCATCAACTGACGTGATACAATTCAATTTTGAATCTGAACGGATGACTACCGCACAGGTTGTCGAAACGTCAGTCACTGTCAACAACAACAGTCCCGTTCAGGACTACGTTCACCCGGACGATCATACTCAACTTACTCATAACCTATTTGGTCGTTTTGGGGGGTTGTGCGTTATTCGTTCGATCGTTCCGCAGGCGTCTGACACAAAGGTGACCACCTACCCCTCCGCTAAGTCAACATTAACACTTCCTTCTCACTTAGGACAAATTGCGACTTACGGGACGGGTAGGAGGTCAGTTATCCGACACAAACATAATACGTGTGAGGTGGTGGGTGTGTTGCTAGTCTTCATCAGGGCCCGGTTCCTCAAAAGAAGGTTAAGTTTAACCCAGGATTAAGCCAAATTTCAAGCACGGTTTTCTCGTCTAAGAACATGCAACTCGAGGTTACAAAATACTGTTGAGGCTTTAATACGAGATATAGTAATGATAACGCAAACTGTTACCCTAAGCAATGCATAGGAATGTAAAATACAAAAACGGAACAAAATTTTAATCCTGGGTTAACGCTAATCGGCCTTTCAGGAACCGGGCCCAGGAGATGCGTTCGACTGCGTCATAAGCGTGGTCTAATCAAGCACTATGTTTTGTTGTATGTGGTTGGTTTTCAACAGCTACATTTACCAACATTTCAAAGAAAATCGTAAATTGCCGCTTATAAGCCCTCAGAGTTTATACAACTTCGCAAGGGGATTTCTCAAGGCTTATACCCGAGAAGGCTTATAAACGGAATATTAAAGGAGTTTTGAAACAGGCCATAGAAGTATTGATCAAAATATGTTTTACATTTACAGGTTTTTAGTGGCGCTTTCCACAAGTCAGAACTGGCCGGCAGGACCATGGCCAGACCAGGCATTTTGGCAATGAAATCGGCGTTTTAACAATTATTCGCCAAAGACGAAGTTAATATTGTTGCAACAGAAGCGGCAGGTTACGGTCTCGAACTTTTATACAACGTGACGTGTAACAAGTCGATCTCATCACCTGTTTGACTTTCTTAAGTTTGATTTCCACTGACGCGTTGCCGCACGTAAATTTTAATCACCTAAATAAAATAGAGGCAAGATAAAAAGTACCGAGCTTAAACGAGAAATTGAGCGAGGTTCAAGTTTTGCGTTTACAAGCGACTTTTCATGTATTGCCTCTGTTTTATTTGCGAAAGTAAAAATTACGCGACACTGGAAATTAAGCCTTAGACTTCTTAGGGTGGATTTCCACTTTCGCGTAAATTTAACGTGTTTAGGCAGGTAAAAACGACGTGCGTTAACAAATTAGAGGCAAGGTATGAAAGATCGTGCGTAAACCTTAAAGTTGTTGAAACTCGCTCAACTTTTACGTTTACACGTACGTGCTACTTCATACATTGCTTCTATTCTATTTACGCGCGTAAAATATACGTGCGTAAGCACGTGTTACGAGACAGTGAAAATCCACCTTTAGTGAGAAGATTGTTTTGAATCGTGAAACAAACGATAATGCTTTATTTCCTCGAGAAGAGAGTTTATAATCTCGAAATGTTACTATCCCCGAGCCTGTCGGTCCAAGAAACGATAACTCTTTCATATTTAGATAGTTTTTTTCGGCAAGGGTAGCAACAGACGCATAAACTTCATTCAAGCGGTATTCAGGGCACAAATTTATAAAAAAAGAAACAGCAGCACACTACAAAATTCTTGACTGGCAATTGACCTTGTCACGGTTTTCGACGCCATTTTGACGAGTAGGTAACGATATTTTGGCGCGGTTAACGCGCTTCATCTGATACTAATCTCTTAAACGTTCGGTCACGCGCTCCATTCTATTAAGCAATTCTCAAACGTTTTCGTTGACTTTGTCCCACTTGGAGATTTTGGCTTTACGGGATATTGAAGGTAAGTAGATTTTCTGGCTGTGTGTTCAAGGAGTCCCAGTCCTTCATCAAATAAGTCAGTTTTGGCAAAATAGCACAAAAGCAACTGGAACGTCCAGTAGCTGCATGAATTGGATTCCCCCTTCCCTTCCCTTGCAGAGTCTCTCCTGCCCTATCCCCACAGTCTGTAGGACGAACGTGGGGACTTTTAGACGGGTGTACGCTGACTTCATAACAAATTTTCCCTCATCGATAGGTTTCCAATTTCTACAGGAACGTAGGCTCCGCGAACAATTATTGGCACACAGTAAGCCTGGGCTGCCGGTAACTATATTGGCCCTTTGATGTGAATGATGATGATGACGATTATCATCGTTTTTCTCAACCAGCTTTCGTTTAGGTTGGGCAATAAAATTGGGTCTCTCGAAATATTATTTTTGTCAACATACGTCTCTCAAGACGATTTCAGTTCATTTTCTTATTTTAACATTGTCAGGATCGAGCGATTTCCGGTACGGGCGGCCATCTTGATTTCACATTTACCGAAAAGGCGTCGGGGTTTACAGCGGTGGGCGAAGGGAGGCGAGAAAAAACCTTCCCCTGCCCCTTTAGTAGATTTGACACTCATCCAAGAAACGCAAAGTCAAGCGCTCGATCTCAACGATCTTACGGAAAAATAGGGCACTGTGAACACAATCTAAGCGTTATCAAACTGTGTCCATGTAACTACTGTTTGTATATTATACTACGAATTTCATTATTGTGACTGTTACTTACCATAAGCTTTCTGTAAACATTCACCACCTGTAAAACTGCACTAGCTTCCTTAGAAGTGTGAGGCCCTAGGACTATCAGCGGAAAGGTTTCTTGAATATTAAAAGCTTTAGCCATTTCCAGAACAGCGAGGCCGGGAATTCCCTGATGCAAATAATAAAACAATACTTCAACACTATGAATCAACCTGCCAATAAAAAAATTAAGTAATAACAAGAATTCTTGCTAATAACTACTGAGAGAAATATTGGTTAGGTACCAAGCTTATAGGGGTAGGCAGGGTTCGACTCCCGGCCGGGCCAACACTCAAGGTCTTACATGGACTATGTGTCATAATCACATCAAGTTCGCGCGCTTTGTGCTTGCCGTCAGTGAAGAAGCAAAAACATTGACTTCCAGGTTTGCTTCGTTGATCAAGCAAGACATCGAAAAATAGTTGAAGAGAAGGACTCACAAAACACAAAAAGGTCGACGAAGGTGGCAGAGAAGGAGCTGTTTGTTGATTACGTGAAAGAGAAAAAAATGAGAGAATTATTCCAATCATTGTCCTGACCATTTTTTTCTCGTTCAATGTATAATAAAACAATTATTAGATTCAGTTTTTGTGATATCCAGAATAATCAAGGTCTTCGGCTAAGGGGCCGACCATTTAACTCTTGAGCGGGGAGGGGGGGGGGGTGATTTTTTAAAAAAAATTTCTCCAAGCGCTTGTCGGAAGAAAAAAATTGCATGCAGCGCAAATGTAATAAAAAGCTTATGGGAAAAAGGAGAAAAAAATATCCTGCCCACCAGATTGCTAAAAAAAAAAATTCCTGATGACCAGAAATCACCGCCCCCCCCCCCCCTCAAGAGTTAAATGGTCGGCCCCTAATAACCCCTACCTCGACCTTGATTATTCTAGACATCACAAAAACCTCACGTTTGTCGTAAAGGCGATGCTCAATCTCTCTAACTAATATGTCGTAAAAATGGCTTCGGCCTTTGTCGAACAGGAAACTTGAAACTCGCCCCCATAAAGCGAGTTGCGAACTTACCAAAGTCAAAGAGCAATTCATCTTAATTTCATACTTTTCAAAGAATGATTTGAAAGAAGAAGAGTTCTTAGCAACATCGTAAGCAAGTGTCATCCCTTTACAGGGGATCTTGTCGAATGATGCAACCATCTGGAGAATATAAAGATCTGTCTTGTTAGCGTTACACTTCAGAGATCCAAACACCAAGACAATACCAAAAAAGGAAATAACTGCTGTACTGCTCATCTTAGGTATGAACCGTAATAATGTCGATCTGAGAAAAGGAAAGAGAAAACAGACAAAAGTTCTGTTATAATTTTCCAAAGAACGTATTTTTTTGTATGAAAATTAAAGCAGCTTGACCTCAACTTTCATCAACTCTCACTCTTAAAATAGTAAAAATTCCCAGGTCATACTGTCTACCCTATCATATAGCAAACTTTAAGAAATAATTATTTTTAAACTCGCATGGTTTACTTAGCAATTTATTAAAACATTAAGTTTATATTACGAATTATATGGTGTCTGTATCAATTTGTTTTTGTATAATCAGTTAGCCTGCAAATAACTTTGTGACGTTGGCTACATTATTAAAGATTTTCATTGTTATCATGCCTTGTCTCATTCACACAATGAACAAAATGTTATAAAATTTGTCGCAAATGCACCTCAAAACTCTAGAAATCGCATTTCCGAGGGTCTTTCTCTCAAAATGTTCCGGGGGAGAATCGCCGGTGGTTACCCGCATCCCCCACCACCCCCCCGGTAATGGAAAATGGTCCGCCGCTTTTATGTTCTAACAGTCTTCTGTTAGTACGACATTAAAACTAAAAACAAACAAAAAATCAGCTAAACTAAGTTACGGTACGCCATAAGTCAAGGTTTGCTTGCACTAAACTAAAACTAAACTAAACAGCTTTAAGCTAATTGCATTGCATTTACTGAGTACTTTTGACTGTTTCGCCAATGCATAAATTTCGACCGACTCTTAAGCATTTGTCACAATGGTTATATCGTCGTGATTTTATCCATGGACAGTATCCTTAGTCTACTAATATGAAAGGTAGTTCGTAACTTCTATATATTTTTCACATAAAAAGGGCGAATCTCCGAAACGCCTTACGGCTCATCCATCCGCCGATCTTTCTTCCACCTTGTGTTCACTCACTTATTTGCTCTTTAATCCTTATTCATTTTACTTAAGGATCAAAATATGACATACGTTCTAACTAAACGAGGTCTTTGCTTTTAAAAAAAGAATTGTAAAAATCAGTGGCGAAGCCAGACCTTCAGATAAGGGGGTGGGGGGACGGTCATTCAGATGGGCTAAGTTTGGTCTTAAAATAAGGAACCCCTTCCCTCGATCCGCCACTGAAAGTATTCTTACCTTTCGAAAAATTTCGCTTCTTAAAGCAAGAAGTTTCAATTTACCAGAAGAAAGAAAACAGATCGTGGACAGATTGCTGGAAATAGTTAGTATGCTTGTCGACTCTTGGTGAGTCTAACGGGCGAGACATATCAAAATTATTGTTTCAATTGCTGCCTAATGGATTGATATTTAATATTCAGAAGCTATATGTCATAATTAAAACGCTGATGGCCAAAAACATCAAATTAATAAACTTCAAGCAGCACAATTATTTTTAATAGAGCATTGTTAAGGTAGCTAAAATTGCACGGTTGATATCCTGTAGAGTGGAAGCAAAATGAATAGAAATTTTGTCGGCCATCTAAACATCGTTAACCACCGACACAAAGTAAATTTGCTTAGGCACGTATACATCCTGAGTCGATAATTATAATTTTCAAATTAATTTATAGTGCCAGCCATGAAGGCGGGGATTTTGCCAGATAATCAGCGTCGAGGGAGGAATAAATTGCATTCGCGCCTTCCTTTCCTGCAGGGATGCCATCTGCTTATCTCAAAATAATGTCGTTTGGAAAACGCATGGTTGGTCGTTTTATCATGACATACACGTTTCACATGTGTAACTAAGGTAGATCTTACAAGAAGATGAACTTAATTTTATCTCGCTATTAAATTCACTACAGTTTTACAGGAAGCAGTATGGTAAGAAGTCCACGAAAGCTAATGAGTAGCCCTGAAATTAAATCAGCTCCTTTTAAATTGAAGCGCGATGTCTGCACGAAATGGTAAAATGCATGTGATTTCATAGAAAATGAAATAGTTAGAGATAATGAGCCAAGTAATCAGTTTTTAGTTCAATTTTATCCGCACGATAAAAATATTATTGTTGGGAAGTTCTTATTACCTTATTTAGGAGAAGAAATAAATAATTTTAATATAAATAATGTAATATTCGTGAACAATCATTTTCAGATTCTTATTGGCTAGTAAGAAAATTTTTATGAAGGAAGAGGTATTTCATTTCTGAAAAAAAAGGCATCATTTTAGTTCTAAAAGGAAATAGAACGATATTTCATTTTATTTCTCTTTTATTTGGATCTTGATAAACTTCCTTGCATTGTTTCCAGGGCTGTACAGTTATAGTACTGAGCAGCTTTTCTCTCGTAAATGGAATACTCGAAATAAACACACCCGCTTTTTTTTTTCACTACAGGTTCGATCATGCAACTCTGTTAGTCTTTGAAGAAATTTACTCGAGCCCAATTATTCCAAATTTCACATGAAATCGAATCATACGTTCTACGAACAAATCATAATAATATCGCGCACCTGGTATTTGTTGCCTCAATACTAACTGAGTGACAACAGGGGTTAAATAAAGGACTCACAAGGGTGGAAGTATTCACGGTAAACGGTTAATATTTTGGCCTTTCAACGGCTAATTTCTTGCCGTTTCGGGTAACAGAAGAAGAAGAAGAAGAAAAATCAGTTGTTTTAAAAAACATCCATTGGTTTAGACTAAGAATCTTTCCGGGATCGATAGAGGAAAAATAGCTGAAATTGGATTCAACGCCACACAATATTAGCTTCTTCTGAGACTAGCGATTAAAAATTTCCATTAAATTCTGTCCAACGACTAAAATGTTTGCCTGCTATTTTATGGAAGGTTAATCCCATCGAAACCTTCTTAAATGAACATTTGTCACTCCCTAATATAGGTAAAACTAAATCCGACCTTCTTACCGATACGGCAAGCCTTGAAATTATCGCCAAGTTGTTAACCATTAACTATATATATTAAAAAGTCTATACACGTTTTTTGAGAAAGGATATCGGCTCATACGTGCATGTTTCTTGATAAAAGAATTATGCCTGCTAGAATAAAAAGCTTAAAAATTCTACGTACCCAGTTGCTGGGATATCAAAGTTTGAAGCAACCCGGCATTAAAAAAGGAATTTTCATTGCCATAACATTCAACTACTTTTCATGCTCCAATATACCTGTGGAAGATATCGAATACTTGTGACTTCTACCTTGGATTCAGAAACAAACGCCCTGTCCGCTCAAATATTGAACTGCTCTCTTGCATTTCGAACAAATGTTTGCTCATGTTCGTGTTTTTCTGCGGCTGATGGCCTAAGTAACTTCCTAAACGCCCACGCTAGTTTTCCAGAATTCCTTACTGCCGGGCGTTTTTAATAATCTTTTACATCTTTATTTTTCTCGCCGATGTATATTTTTACCAAAAGAACCACGGAACACAGGTACTCGGACTTGAAACTTTTAAAAACAGCACGCTTAGCCGGATGAGTCACGGCAAACAACCAAACAACTTACATCTTTCTGCCACAACAAAAAGGTCGGAAAAGGTTTGAATTCGAGTCTTTCTCATTTAAAAATTCTTTGACATCTTTTCAGATTGCATCAAATTG